ATCACCAGGTACTGAGGCACAGTGAAAGATTCTGCAAGCATGGAGGAGACTGTGTTTCACAAGTGGGAAGAGGAAAAGGTGAAAGGCCATGCTTGTTCACATGTTGTCCAGCTTCTTTCTGGAATTCAGCTTTCCCTCTGCTAAAGTCTGCTGCAGAGTTAATGAGAGGGTGGACAAGAGAGGCTGTGGATAAGGCAGAGTTTTTACTTTTTGTGATTTTAGTTTTGGAAGGAAATCAAGAACTCTAATTTGGAGGTATTAAGGTTAAAATTGCAGTCTATGAGAAATTGGAGATGTTCAAGAGAGAGGCCTGGTATGGAGGTGTGCATTTGGGTGACAATGGAATAGGAGGAAACATTGAAAACCATGACACTCAATAAGACACCAGGGGAGGGAGTCAGATGGAAAGGGAGACCACCGCCTGGGGTCTGCAGCCACCAGTGTGAACATGTGGGGCAGAGGGACAGACAGTATGGAGCAGCCGGGGTGCCAGCCAGGAGGCGGAGACCAGATTCAGGGATGCAACAGCTTTAGGCTATGGAACAACATTGGTCTGGAGCAGGAGCCACAGGCTGTGTCACAGGATGCTGAAGAAGTCTGAGAAGTGACCACTGAGTACAGCCACAAGGAGGCCACAGGGCCCAGACAGGAGAGATACTGGGCATGTGGGGTAGAGGCTGAATGGCCTGGGGTCAAAAGAGAAGAGAAGAGGAACTGGAGGTGCAAGGTTGGATGGCTACTTCATGCTACACAGAGGGCAGACAGAAAGCAGGGTCCTTGGAATATGCACTTGTTAAGGGGACTGTGTGTATGCAGGTGACCATGTGTAAGGTGCAAGAAATGAGGGCATATTTGTTGCAAGATGAGAATAATCTAATACAGGACAACAACAAAACAAAACAAATTTTCAAAACCTCAAAATTTATGGGAGGAGTGATTTGCTGCTGCAGTGATCCTCAGGTAGGCAATGGGAATTTGCCTGTGATGTCTTTCTATGGAGGGAATATGGGGGACAGGTCAATGATGGCTACCGGTGGAGGTGGCAGAGCATGCAACAAAGAAGACCAATGGCCATGAGGTAGAAGGTCAAGTTGTCACCCATCATCTCAGAATGGAAAACAGCAAGAGGACTGGGGAGCTCAGGTGGACTGGCCTATGCCAGGGATGGTGAACCTTTTAGAGACCAAATGCCCAAACGGCAACCCCAAACCCACTTATTTATCTCAAAGTGCCAACACTGTAATTAAACTTGAATATTACTTAGCTGGGAAGGTGATTTGCTCCTCTTGCCAACAGAGAGGGCTCTGTATACCCACTGTGGCACGTGTGCCATAGGTTTGCCACCCTTGGTCTACGCACACAAGAAGGGACCAAGATGCTGCCCCATATCATGGAATCCCAGAGCTACACAAAGGGATCCAGAGGGTGGAGCAGGGCAGTGGTTGCCATAAGGGGGATCAGAAATTCCTGAGCAGGGCGACCCTAGAGATAGCATTTTTGGCTGGCCCCAACACTGCACGGGGACAGCACAGGTAGTGCTGAGGTGCTCTCGGGGCCATTGTTGTCTATACCTGCTTCTGTTGTCCTGGGCTGGAGATCATCATGTGAGGGAAGTCTACGCAGATGTTAGGCAGTCACAGAGTTAAGGGGCTGTTGTACCAATCATTTTCAGCAAAGGCAGATTGAAAAATAAATAAGCCTACTAAAATGGGGGAGGGAAATTTAATTTCAACCCAACATATTTCCTCCTGACAAATAAAACGCATTAGTTCTAGACTATTAACTCCAATATTAAACCCAAGGTACATTTGTTAACTTTAGTGGTTAATGTGTACTAAAAATATCCCATCTCTTTCTCTGCACAGGATGACTCCATTTTTCTTGATCACTTGGATATTCTGTTGCTTTGGTATAGGCATTGTGGGAACAGACATGCTGGAATAGAGTTTAAAGAGTGGTAATGATTCAGAAATATTCACAGCCTGTAATCTTGTTTAAGACATGCAATTTAGCTAGTGAGGTTGCACAAGAAATCAGCTGGAGACAGAAGACCTGGATTCTCTCCAGTGGCGCATCGTTCACCAAAACCAGGGAGACCTCAGTTCAAGTGTGAATTCTGCTACTTGCTAAGTGTGTGGTACTGATTCTATTATTTAAACATCTCCAAGATAAATTCCCTCATCTGCAAAATGGGAATAATAGGAACTGTGAGAATAAAATTAATATGTATAAAACAGTCCAGAGGTAAATATATAACTAGTAGGTGATGAAGATGATGATGATGAAGAGGAGAAGGAAGGCACACAGGAAGAGAAGAAGAATCTGGTGGTGGCAGTAGTGATGCTGAAGGTGATCCCTTTGTCTACCAACAACTTGCTCATGGGTGAATTTCTTACCCTGTCTGGGCCCAGTAAACTGCCTGCTATATTGCAGGTCCTCAATAGTGTTACTACATGAATGAATATTCTAATAATTTCCAAAGGTCATCCAAGGTTTAGATGTGCTCTCAGCACATGAAATAACTTTGTGAATTTATAGTAATCTTTTCTTAGATCTTCACACTTGGACTTGTGCTAAAAGAAAATGCATGAAATCCCCATGGCACTTGTAAAAATTAATCAGAAACTACTATTGACCATTGGGTCATTTGCTATACACTGTTATACTTTTAAGGGGCAGGAAGCAAGGGAATGATCAGGAAGAGGCGTGAGAGAAAAGTGTAGTAGGAAGGTTGCTAGGAGCAGTGTAGGGAAAACCATTTTGTCCCCATTGTCCAAAGGGCCCACTCTTTGGGGAGACCTGACCATCAGGCAAAACCTCACACCCAGTTATAAAGCGGGGGCCCTCCTGAGAAAGTCCCTACACCCCAGGCTGGTTGGTCCATGAGAACCACAGGTGGTTTCTATGAGAGGATTCTCTGAGGCCCAACTAGACAGGCTGTGCAATTTCAGCAGGTTCGTAGCCACCTTCCAGCAGCTGTGTTAACTCCCAACTTCGGGAACGTGAGGAAATCCTGGTGAGTTTGCTGTGGCCAGATAGACTTGGCTCATCTTGCCTAGCACCACTGACATGCTGGTGACACACAACCTCCTTATTCCATTTAGTGGCCTAGATGTCCGCAGAAGCCCATATAACTTTGGGACACCAGGTCTCTGCTTGGCTTTTCTTTTTTTTTTCTTTTTTTTTTTTTTTTACATGCAGTGCTGATTTTGACAATGTTTAAAGCTGTGGTATTCTAGTAATATATGCCTATATTATTTCAGCCCCTCTTAAAATCTTCCCAGGTTCTCCTCCAACCTATTCTGAACCTTGAAGCTTGGGTTTGCTCTCCCTTAATTCAGGCCTTTTGATTGATGCTCAGAATCTGCCTCTTTGTCAGCTTTCATTTTTTTTTCTTGGTATTATCTCAGCTTACCCTGGTTTCTCCCACTCAGGGTTAGCACAGACCAACCTTTCAAACTTGCATTTTTCCAGGGGCCTGTTCTCTGTTTCTCTAACAAGTCCTAGGCATCCCCAGAAGACTGAGTTCTTACACTGTCTCTAAAACGTCTATGCAGGAAGAAGGAGAGCAATTTCTCCTCTGCATCTGGGGTGGTTGCTCATCGTTTCATTTCCAGGACATGACCTTGATCTTCTTAAGGAGAGGAACCATGATGTATTCCCAAGGTCATGCCCAGAGCTCACCCTTGGTGCTCATTCCTGCCTGTGCTGCACACTGGCACAAATATACAACAGGCACTGTGGTGTTCTCAAAGCAAAAGGTGAAATCAACGCCTCACTCAACAGAATGACCTGTGCCCAGGCTATTACTTGGATTTCTGTGCACCCTCTATTGGCATTCACAATATACCCTTCTCATCTCTCCCCCATTTTTATAACATACCTTCCCTTCAGGACAGCTGCTTCTTTTATTTGCAAATAAATTACTGCAGATATAACAGAGAAGGAAAGAAAAGCTGTTACCCCAAGTAGGACATGAAAGACATTGCTAATTGATTTCTGAGAGTTTGTGAAGCATGAAAAAGCATTTCAGAGGCAGTTTGACACCTAAAAGTACAATCTGCAAAACAGTGTAATGGAAAGAGAACAGAATTGGAAGTTAGGAGGTGGGCTTCTAGCCAAACTGTCTGCTAACCTGCTCTGTGACCTTAGAAAAGCAACTTGGCCTCTCTGGACCTCATTTATCATGAAAGCAAGGATTTGAGCTGGACCTCAAGCATTGTACTTGAAAGGTCCTGACCTGAGGATTATTTTCAAGTGTATTCCACTGAAGCACAGGCTGAAGGCCAAGCACAGTGGCAGAGATAACAGGCACGGTGCTGGAGGGAAGAAACAGCCTTTGAGGACAGGAAGCCACTCACAAGGCTTCAGCCACCACAGAGGAAAGAAAGAGATCACAAAGGACCCCAAACTTAGGAGCAACTGCCTTCCACCCAACTGTCTTTTGTTCCGTTGTTTAAAACATTTTCTCCTAAAAAAGCTAGGTTTGATCCATATTAAAGTTTAAGAGGGGGAAAGAAAACTCATCAGCATCTACACACCAGGCTCCCTGTGTTTGGCAATGTCTTGCAGGAGTCCTTTGTCACTGCTGGTTCATCTGCCCAGAGAAAATGACAGTAAGAGGACAGAAGATCATGCAGAACCACAGAGAAGACAGGCAGGTTCAGGTACCTCTAGGGCTGTTGCTTAGCAACAGGCCACCTCTCTCTGTGAATCAGTGGCTCCAGGAGGGGACCCGTGGAGGAAGCATCCTCAGCAGACCTATTTCTCAGGAAGGTGAGGTGTGCTGAAGTCTGCCAGGCAGCACCATGAAATAAGGAGTCAGGTTTCATCAGGTCCGCATGGTCATAGTGTTAGAGTATGGTGACTCTAATAGTGAAGCTTTGCATATCTGCAGAGCTCCCACAGCCAACAAAGGGATGAAGAATGAATGAACCATGGCACAGGGGCTTGGGTCCCGGGGAGGGGGCTATTCAGGGCTCCAAGGACTCTGCACTTACCACTTATCCACTTTGCCTCTGGGTCATGGATTTTGAAATCTTTACTGAAAAGATCTTCCACAGTGACCTTCTTCTTTTGAGACAGACTATTGTCTTCCGCTAGGAAAAAAAAAAGAGAGATAGTGAGACTTTAATTGGTTAAATAACATATATGGCAAAATATGATTTCTGTAAATGAGTGGTGAACAGCCAGTCTTGCCTTTTCTTTTTCATTGAATTATGAAAAACTATGGTAAGGAGATCACGATTCAGCAAAATAGCATCTTTGGGTCCTTACACACACAGGCAATGCATAAATGATTCTACTCCTTATGTGCAGAGGTGAACACTTCAAGGCTGATGCATGAATAAGATGGGGATGATAAGACAGAAGGAGCTTCATGGTAATGTAAACAGCCATTCATTAAGTGTTAAATGCTACTAACTACAGGCAGTGTATTGGCTGCTGGGAATTCAAAGGCACATGAACCATTCTGTAATTATCTATGCCTCACCTGTCCCTGGCTGTCACTGGATTCTGGGTTAATGCTTATTCAGACAGAATGACCCCCAAACTGGCTGACCAGCCTGTCTCATCCATTCTTAGGAGGAAGTGCCTGGAATAAGCCCAAGAAGTCATCAAACTAATATCCAGCCCATGGGGGGATGTTTTGTTCACAGCCCCAGGTGGGTGAGACTTTAGAAATCTGGCAGCTTTTATCCTATTTGCAGAGGTCAAAGCTTCTAGGATTTTAGCTCTCATGTGAAGAGCCCATCTCCATTAGAGTCTCAGCAATCCACGTATCTGCTCTATCAGGAGAACCTCAACTGATGGAGTACACAGAGCAGCCTACCAAAGCAGCATCTCTTCTGTTACAGTGACAAGATACTCCCTTCCCTGGCCCGCCTCTGTGATACATTCTCTACCTGGAGCTCCTAACCATAGGGCACTAACATCACTGCACTGTTCTTCATGACTTTTGTCCTTTGCGTTGGACTCCTCACATCCTTGGTTTGTGTCATTCTGGGACTAACTGTGTGGGTCTGCACACAACCTCTGTCAGTTAGCTTCTGATCAGTGTGCATTGGAATTTTGATGTCTGCTTGCTATGGTGGCATCTCTTTTCAAGCATTGGATTGCCATGGTCCCTGCCCTCCACAGTGCCCTTTGCCTCTTTTAATTTTCTCTTTCAAAATCTCTAGAAAATTTGCAAAATAGCAAGGAACTTAGAATTGTATAATGAAATAGGAACAAATGATCTCTGGATGAGCTCTTCAAAGCATCTTCCAGGGTTGTTGCTCATACATTTTGTTGTGTCACACTGAGCTTTTCTTTTCTGGCCTTTCTGGATATTAGAGTACTGAAGTTACCAGAGAAGCCAAGTGTCCCTTGTGCATTGATTGATTTCATGAATATCAAATGAAATGGCTACAGATAAAAATTTTTGAAAATTACAGAATCATATGACTCAAGGTGGCTCTCGCCGGGATGTGCTAGTGTGTGGAGCTACCCTGGGGTACAAACATGATGCGCAAAACATAACCTGACTCTACCTGCACTGCATATGCCACTGAGGCAGCCCTAGGAAATACACACAGCTCCTAACAAGATGTTTTCCTTCTGAAAAACAGACAGAAAGAGAATTTAAAGATGACTGAACATTGGTCTAAGACCATTCTAAGAGACTATACTATAACCCAGCAATTAAGAGCTATAAATCTTCCTGAGACTCCTAAGTACATGGTCAGAAAAGAAGCCTAAATATCACATGATTTGTCACATATGGGAAGCTAAAAGTATAAATAAATTGGGCAAAGCACAAGATGGATAATCGGAATCAGAGAGATACACCTTTTGCAAGAGAAAAGGGGATTGAGAGATGGTGCAAGGAGAAGAGGGGAAAGGGATATTCAAAGAATTCAGGTGTACTATGTACATGTACAGGCTCCCCATGATGCATGTAATCATGTACAGAAAACATGCACTAATAAAAATAAAAATTAAAAATTACAGACATTAAAATTTAAATTTCATCTAATTATACTTCACTACTCAAAGTTGATTCTGGCTCCATGTATCGAATAGGAACAAAATGTAGGAGGAGTGGCATTTAAACAAACCATGGATATGAAAGGTGGGAAGGCAATTTATTCACTTGCTAAAATTTTTTCTTCTCATAAATGTTTTATTATTTTGAAAAACTATTGCTTTATTTGTTTCTTAAAGATGTGTTGGCAATGTATAGATTTTTATATAGGACAGTTTGTGGTGGAAGCACTATGGAACATGCTATTCATAGTACTCCCCTGAAGGCAGAAGCTTGGCTTTGTCACTAATAGGCTCTACCTCCTGAGGACACTCATGGCTGGCCTGCCCGGACCTTGAAGACTCATTCATACACCCAACTAGCTAACTCAATCATTGACTTACAGTGTGAGACGCTCCCAAATCCTTCAAGGTGACCATGGGCATGACTGACTGCCATGTCCTAGGAATCATGCTGAGCCCTAAAGAACCAAAATGGCAGACTCCACCCTTGACTACAGGAAGCTCATGGAGTTGTGGGAGCCAAAGCCAAATGGACAGCCATAAGGCTATAGTGATGGTGGGTGCTGAGAGGAAGGGAACCTGCCTTCTAACATTTCAGGGGGTCGGGGAACAGGAAATCAGGAGGGATTCTGGAAAGACTTTCTTGAGGAAAGAACCCTTAGCCAAATTAAAGGATGTAAAAGAACAATCAATCTAGGAAGGATTAAAGGTGTTGGTGGAGGTAGCATTTTCAGGAAACTAGTGTGACAGCATGATCCTGAAATAGCTTGAAATTAAGGCAAATTTGCTCATTATGTTTGCTACCCTAAAATTCCTTAAGGAAATGTTCATGTGTGGGCTACCATCACAAATCCAGTGTAAGAGCTGGTAGCACTTCCAGTGTAAGAATTACACATTTCTATTTCAGAAGAATTTCCAGTAATTATATCATCAGCACTGCTCCTATCCTCTTCATCCCTCCTCCCAGAATTCCAGCCAACTGGTCAGAGCTCTGAGGACCATCTCCATGGCTCACACCTTTTCTTTCATGTTTTCCATCTTTCCACATCTTTGAAGGACATTGTCATGATGTCTTCGCTTCAATCTTCCATTTATCAATGTTTCCTTTATCTGACTGTTCTTTTATCCAGCTACTTAGAGTTTAAATTTAAGATGATTATGTTTTAATTTCTAAAACTCCTCATTAAGCTCTTTTTCAAGATCATATACTCTTGCATTATGTTTCAGCCTCCTTTATTCAGTGGATAATTCCTTTAAAAACCTAAAATGTCATTTCCCATTTCCCCTATTGATGTAGACTTCCTTGGATCTCAGTGTGCTTGTGTAGGTTGTTGCTTGGCTCCATGGGTAATGGTTTTGGCCTATAGGGGCCTTTGTTGGAAGCTTTGATCCCAGTGTCCTGGTTGTCTCTTGGTGGTCTCAGGAGTCACATCACACAGTATGAAGACTCTCTGGGCAATGGCTCTTGACCAGAACTTGTGTGGCCACTTGTGCTGAAGTCCTTTCCTCTACTAGATGGGTAATGTTTTAAGACATGGTTGCCAGTCCAGCCTCTGTCCTCTCCAGGACATAAACATGCCAGCCCTTCCCACTGTGCTGACTTTAGCCAACCTGCCTGTGGGTGATAGGGACTGGATCTTGCCTCCTGCTGCAGGTTCCTTCATGGGAAGAACTCTGTTTCTGAGTGCAGTTATGATTTCATATGTATTTCTCTATCACTTCCCCATACTTGCTGTTAGAAGGGAGATGATTTCTTTGCTTCACCTTTCACTTAAACTGGAGGTCAAATTGAAGTTGGAGATTAAGAAGTGGCCTCTGACTTTTGTAATTTGGATTTCACCCTGAAGGGCATCTGGGGGTTACTGAGAAGTAAAGTTTCTTGCAGCCCTTTAGCTTCATACATTATCAGTACCCACAGGACACTTATGCCCTTGCAGAGTCCTGGTCATCCTTAGCATACGTCTCGCTGCAGTCTGAGCAAAGTGGTGTTCAGTATGGAGGCCAGGGAATGAGTTAAGTGCTCAGGCTCTTGTCCTGCTCTAGGGTATTTGTTAAATACTCATGGCATTAGTGTATTGGTCAGCTTTCCCACTGCTATACATGACACACAATACTCACACCTGAGAGAAGGAGAGGTTTAATCTGACTCACATTGTCAGAGGATTCAGTTCACGGCAAGTTGGCTCTAGGCAGAAACATCATAGTGGAAGGGCATGGTAGAGCAAAGCTGCTTAGTTCATTGTGGTTTGGAAGCAGAACAAGGAAACAGTGCTCCAGAGGGAGAGGCCAGGGATCAGATATCAACCCCCAGATATCATGCCTCTAAGACCCACCCAGATCTAAGAAGTGTTGTCCACTAATCCCTCAGGAGGATCCTAAAGCCAATCAAATTAATAATCCCTAACTGCCACATCCAACTCCTGTCAACTTGATACTCAAACACGTTTCCTTAAACCATACTTCATCTCCAAATAAACACCAAACATGATCATAGTTCTACCTCACATAATATAACTACCCTACATATAACAAGAAGTATAACAATAGTGAAAGTGTTAGAGAAACATTTGAAACTTCACCTGTACAGAGAACTAGAAAGAACTCCCAGCCCACAGGATGGGCTAGATGGTTGCTCAACTGTCTCTGCCTGCACTGGGGTAGGTGAGGTGTGGCCCAGGCATTCTGAGCAGCATCCACTGAGATTAGCCAGAGACCTCTCATAAATGTCTGATCCTGATGGCAATGGAATAGCCTGGCAACTCAAAATGCTTCCATCTTCACAGTACAGAGATGTTTATTACCTTTCCAGAGCAAGGAGCAAGGAGTCACCTGAAGGGAGGTAATCCTGAGCAGCTTGGAGATTAAGTAAGTCTTGTAGGGAGATGTGAGTAGTTTTGTGGCAGATGTCAAGTACGAAGAGGTTTTTAAATATAAAGGGGGCAACGATTATGGCAATCTGGTCAGATATGTCTTCATGGAGGAAACCTTTATAATTTAGATCTAAGACGTGCTCCCAAAAGTCTCATGTTTTCAGAATGCGGCTTTCAAACATGACTGTATCATGAGGGCA